ACACAATCATTATACTACTGAATTTATTATTACAAGAAATTAGCTCAAAAAAATTTCATGATAGTACAGTATACAACAATGTATAATCTTTCGTTACATTACTTACTGACTACAGTGATATAATGCACAGTATTGCAAATATATCAAAAACACTTATTAATTACAATTTTTCAATTGCCAAAAAAATTTTAAATTACTGTTTCAAAAAATTTGAGTTAGCAGAGGTTTACTATATTTAAGTTTTTAATCATACCTACTCAAAATCAAATAGCTGTATTAATTTTATGTTTTGACCTATAAAATGTTTTTGAATTTATTTCATTTCAAATTGATGAGAAAGAATTATAAAATGCAAAACTCTGAATATGTGAATGTTTTATAAATTCTTTATAACAGGAAAGATTTAACAGTAATTCTAAATTATCTGTTGAATACGTTAAAAACAGTGTATTACTTTCAACATGTTATTTCATTTATTGCCTTGTTTCTCAATATCATTTTGATCAGGAGTTTCCAACTTTTCTTGATATTTGATCCCTTTCCAAACATAGATTTAATTCACTGATCTCTTATACTGATACAAAAAAAAATTAATTAAAACAGGATGAAATAAAAAAAATCAAGATGATTTTTATGCTTAATAAGCATTATTAATTTTCACTAAACATGAATCAAAATTCAAAATTGTGTTTTGCTTTATTTTGAATTTAGATATATTAATTATTATCTAATTGGAGAAATTTATTTATATTAAAATATAAGTAAATTTGTCCAATATCCTCCAAATATTTATTAGAGATTTGTAGGCTCTCTCAATTGACCTATCAGGGTTACTAGAGACCAGGATAGAAACTCCTGATTTAAATGAACTACATTAGCACAAAGTTTAAAATATAAATTATGTTATATTCTTACCTGGAAGTTTGAAAGATGTCCGAGCTAGAACGTTCTGCGTGTTTTGGAAATTTGTTGAAGATACATTTGATTCATTAGGGCTCTAAAAAAGGTAAATAANGTTGTACAATCAGTTCTCATTAAAGAAAACTGGGCAAAAGGCACAAAACATTAAAAATTTCAACATTCTAAAATCCATGAGCAAATATGAGACAATATGTGTGCCTGCTTGAATAAAAAAAAATTAAATGACAGTGTTTGCACTTAAAAATTGTGACATTTTGTACTGAGATGTCTCCAATTCCCAAATTCTGTTAGAGTGAAACTGTGTTGTACAAAAAATAAATGTAATATCTATATTTGAAGAAAAGAACTAATATGCAATGATCAAAATGCAAAAAATTTTAGATTATATTTCTGTGCTTGATGACTCTGGCAGGAGATATATAGCATTTCCATTCTGGAAATATTTAGATATCATTTTAAAACCAACATTATTTCTAGAAAAAATATTTCTTTTGTTTATCATATAGTTCAAATTTCAGAAATTTTAATATTCATTATGTGTGATAAACGATGGCATACAGTTAATTCCAACAAAATCATTAGAATATTATTTAAACACTGATAAAACATTCAAGTTTTCAAGTATAGCCACTATCAATATGATATATAATCTGTAACTTTTAAGATCATCTGGAATTGTGGAATCATCTGAATTAATTGTATATTAATTGAGTATTTTTCAAGTTAATTTTATTTATGGTAAATTAAAGAGCACTAGTCACAAATAATTTGTTAAAATTAATACAGTAACCCCCCACTAATTCAGACTAATATAGTATGAAGATTGTCTAACTTGAAAGTTAACATGGTGATTTTTCTGATGAATATGGATATACTACACAATCATTATACTACTGAATTTATTATTACAAGAAATTAGCTCAAAAAAATTTTATGATAGTACAGTATACAACAATGTATAATCTTTCGTTACATTACTTACTGACTACAGTGATATAATGCACAGTATTGCAAATATATCAAAAACACTTATTAATTACAATTTTTCAATTGCCAAAAAAATTTTAAATTACTGTTTCAAAAAATTTGAGTTAGCAGAGGTTTACTATATTTAAGTTTTTAATCATACCTACTCAAAATCAAATAGCTGTATTAATTTTATGTTTTGACCTATAAAATGTTTTTGAATTTATTTCATTTCAAATTGATGAGAAAGAATTATAAAATGCAAAACTCTGAATATGTGAATGTTTTATAAATTCTTTATAACAGGAAAGATTTAACAGTAATTCTAAATTATCTGTTGAATACGTTAAAAACAGTGTATTACTTTCAACATGTTATTTCATTTATTGCCTTGTTTCTCAATATCATTTTGATCAGGAGTTTCCAACTTTTCTTGATATTTGATCCCTTTCCAAACATAGATTTAATTCACTGATCTCTTATACTGATACAAAAAAAAATTAATTAAAACAGGATGAAATAAAAAAATTCAAGATGATTTTTATGCTTAATAAGCATTATTAATTTTCACTAAACATGAATCAAAATTCAAAATTGTGTTTTGCTTTATTTGAATTTAGATATATTAATTATTATATAATTGGAGAAATTTACTTATATTAAAATATAAGTAAATTTGTCCAATATTCTCCAAATATTTATTAGTGATTTGTAGGCTCTCTCAATTGACCTATCAGGGTTAATAGAGACCAGGATAGAAACTCCTGACTTAAATGAACTACATTAGCACAAAGTTTAATATATAAATTATGTTATATTCTTACCTGGAAGTTTGAAAGATGTCCCAGCTAGAACGTTCTGCGTGTTTTGGAAATTTGTTGAAGATACATTTGATTCATTAGGGCTCTAAAAAAGTGTAAATAATAAATATTTTATTTACATATATTTTATATTTTATATAAAATTGAACAAATGTAATATATTTAATTAATAATAATTTTATATTAAAAGCATGTAAAGTACTACAATTATTAATACTGTATATTGTTAATATGTGATTAACATGTACAAAACATGTTTGATTAAAGAAATCAGGAACTGATAATTAAACTTAATTAAAGTTTGCTAATTCAAATATTAATGTGAAATACTTTTAATAGTTAAACAAATTCATGTGTGTGATTCTATCATATCAACATAAACAAATATTGAAGAACAAAACTGATTCCATTTCTATGAATATTTATGATAATATAAATTAAACATAATCATTAATAAAACATTAATGTCTGCTTCTAACAGAAAATTATTAAAAATGATGTTGATTATTTTGGTAAAGAAGCAAAACTGAAAGACTTTTTAATCAAAGTATAAAACAATTGCTACAGTCAAAAGTTTAAACAATTTGATATACCTAAACTGAAGTATCTGGCATTCTGTAAGGCCTACATCATCGCGAATCTTGTATATAACACAAAAGTTTATATTAAAAATGAAAATATGATAAATATATACAGTATAATCTCTGAACAGTAGACACCATTAGGACCAAGAGGTTTGTCCACTATTCAGAGGTACTGGTACATGCTGGTAACCATATTTTATTTTAAGCCTGTCATTATAAAGTGATGAATATAATTATAAAGACATCAAATTTTCATTAGGAATGTGAATATAGAAAAAAATATGCATAGCATATATAATTAAAATGTATATACAATATATTATTTATTTTTTCAGCTGTAAAAATCTTGTTTTAATTGAATCTTGTTCGAATGTCGTGTTATGAAAGTGATTTGCTATCCACTTCAAGAAGTGGTTAATATGGCTTGAATTGTTACATTTATAACATCATTTATGATCTAAGTGACTTATAAAAATCAATACAGGGATTTGTCTGCTCTGTAGTTATCAAGTAGGTGTAACTTTTCAAAAATTATTTTTTCTTATTCACTAACTGATTTATTAAAAATTACACTTTAATGACCACTAAATGGTTAAAATGGTTATGACAACACTATTTGTTTGGTGAAAGTTCAAAGGCTGTGTTATGAAGATGATTTACCGACCACTTTAAAATGTGAGAAGATATTTGGTTTTCTCGCATTTATGACATCATTTATGCTCTTAAGTTTTTTTTTTTTGTTACTATTATATTACGGTTCTTGTCAAATGAAACTTTGGAAAAGATTATAGTTTTTGAGTATCATGAGCTTAATTTTAAAAATAAGACAGAAGTTTAATAACATTAATGTGTATGATGACAAATGGTGATTGACAACTTAATCAGATTAAACTTATCTAACATATAGAACGTTGTTTGATGTTTTATAACCTGTCCTCCTTCCCTATTTCTATTTTAAGCTAGTCTTTATTTGACACTTATTTTCAAAATTCATAATCTAAAAAAGTATTTGTCTATTTGAACAGATTATTTGTTTTCGTTTTAAAATATTTCATACATAACTAATTCTTTACAAATATTGAAGGCAAAACATTGTTTTCGTAAGGTTGATTATAAACGACAGCATCTATTATTTAGAAGTGAATATAACAGATGTCTTATTTGAAGGGTCTGGGGATTGTAAAAATATCCATTAAGTAGAGGTGCCCCACTATTTGGAAGTGTCCATTAATGGATGTTTCACTATCTGTCTAATAAAACTTTATATATCATTTCTTATAACCAATTATGAATTTCATCTTTACTTATTTGGGAATGTTTTCTGTGTCTCCCTGAACTAGCTGTATTGTATTTCTCTTGTAAGCAGCGGGGCATGAGAGCACTCATGATGATGTTTATAGATTTGTTAATCAAACAATGATTATTATTATAATAATCCTTTTTTGAATCTGAACAAGTATTTTCTTTTAACAATCTTAGTATTTTCTTTTAACAATTTTCTAGAGCTCCAATAACTACTAATAGACTTATTCTAGTTATCTCAGTCCAAGTAAAAAAATTTTCACTTAAAATAGCAAGATAAAAAAATCTTGCTCATTTTTCTTAGCAAAGTAAAGAACTTGCTTTTAGCAGAAATCAGATTAATGCTTTAGTCAACATTGCATTATGGCTGTTTTACAGTTTCAGCAAAATTTAGTTTCACATATAAATGTTTTTGGTCAATAAATAATATTTTGATTTTTAAAATAATTTAAAATGTAAGAAATAATTTAATGAAACAAAAATTTATAAATATAATACTTACGTATGGAAGTACTGTTCCATAACGTTCAGCTTCAATCATACCCCATCGTAATTCTTCTGGAGATATATCTTTGAAACATGTTAAACAATTTCTATTTCTTGGACTGTAACATGTAAAAGGCCACATATTTCCTTGATCCCAGGCTGTTACATCTTCTTCAATATTATTACTAAAATAAACAATTATATTTATTTAGTGTGTTAAGAAAAATTATAATCTATACTGAAAAACTAGAAATTGAAATTTACTTACAGTTCTTCAGGTTGATACTCTTTACACTCTGATCCTGGAGGCAATACTAATGTAAATTTACTATGGGGATCTATTTTCACTTCATCTTTCTTGAAGCCAAAGTAATCTTTATTTGTGTACATATAAAATGGTATATGTATAGTATGTGTAGTGGAAGGTTTTTCATTTTCATAATGATACTTTTCAAAATGATTCAGACCAAATCGATGCTTAGAATTTTCTTCTGTAATGGAAAAATTATTTATTTCATTTAACTTAAGCAATAAATCTTAAACAAAATGTAAAAAACTGCATTGAATAAGTTCAAATAAATGTTTTCAATTTTTTTTTTTAATTTTCAAACTTTAAAATATATTATAAAAAAG